CTTTTTCTCTCTACTTTCTATATCTTTTATTTTACTTTCTGGGATATTTCCTAAATTCTATCTTCTTCATCTATCTATCTTCTATTTAATCTAAATCCCATTCATATACTTTATTATAATTTTCATTTCTAAAAGTTTGTTTCTTTGTTCTCTGAATGCTTTACTTTTACACAGTAACATGTTCTTATTTTCTGACCATCTTGGTCATAGCAGAGGCTTTCTTTGCCCTTCTGGTATTCCATGGATGTTTGTTTAAACCAAGTGTTGTCCACTAGAAAGTCAATTAGAAACTCTGCATGTACATGTGGCTTGTTGACTGTAGTCTTCATTGCAGGGCGATCTAGCTAAGCCTATTCTCTGGGAGATTCCCAGTATTAAGACCTTACTTAGTTCTATTCCTTGGGGACTTCTCGATGTCAGGATCTCAGTTCTTTTCTCTCCCCCAGACAAGATTTCTATTTTTTGTGCCAGGTGCATGTTGGTTGACAGCCAATAGTCTGGGAGCTGAGAAGGTCAAGGGCTGTTGCTGTGCAAGGTGGGAAAGGAATAAATAATAATTACTTCATTAACACACTGTCAGTGAAGCCTTAACCCCATCTTCACCTTCACCTTCCAGAGATACCTGGGTCTCGGGGGATTTTGCAATGTAAATTGAGTTTCTCTGTTCAGTTTGCCTCTCTGACAGTTTAGGACTGCTTTCTCTAGTCTGCTAAGTCAGTACTTATGTGCTTTTCAGCCTCCAAAATTTTGAGACTATTGCTTTCCTTCCTACTCTCCCTTTTGTTTTATGTTTGTGCCTTTAACTGGAAATTCGACTTAAGCTTTTCAAAGGATTGTCAGATTCAATTCAACAAGCATATATCAAGCACCTATCATGTGCCAAATTCACAGATGCATCACAACATTAATGGGTTTGTGGGCTTTGGGCTGTTATTAAATGCTAGACTGAAATGATAGATGCTTCTCAAGTCTTTATTGTTCTCTTCGCAACCACTGGCTACTTTCTCCAGCTCTGAGGTCCTTTGTTTATTTTATTTCATTTTCTTATTTTATTTTTTCTCTAAGGTATCATTAATTCTTTTCTTCATCTGCTATTGACTGGAAACATCTTTTCTCATCTTAAATTTCCTTTTAGATTTAAGTACATAACCTATTTCCAAGTCTGTGTCTTCTTTCTACATAAAAATGACTCCTTTACCAATCTGGAACAAATAAAGAAGATTTTAAACTCTGTCTAGTAAGAAAAATTATCTCCAATTTGTATTCAAGCTAAAAACGGATCATCCTCCCTGCTCCTATTGGACAGTGCCATGACTCTCTGTCATACACCTGGCGGTAGTGATTCAGAGCTATTACAAGTAATCGCTCTATACATTAAAAAGTTTATTATTTACTATGGCTCCCTACATACCACAATTTTCACATGCGTGGGGCAGTACTGCTTTCTGGAGGCATAGTGTCTGAATTTCAACTCTACTAGTTATCAGCTATATGACTTGGGATGAATTACTTTTTTGAGCTTCATTTCCTCATCTGTAAAATGAGGATGATAATGACACCTCCTACAAATGACAGCCTTTTCTTCTGCAAAATGAATATAATAGTAGTATCTCTTTCAAAAGACCATTTCGAAGATTAGATGACGTAATACGTTAGGTCCTTAGCATAGTACTAGGTGCAGTAGACATCATGTGCTATTTATTATCATTATTATTATACTATAATTATTTCTCTCTTAATTCTATTTAACAGTTTAGGAAATAGAAGTCCAAAGCAGTTTATTTAATTTGTCCATGGCTGCAGAATTAGTCAACAGCAGAGCTGGAATGCAAACTCTGGCAATTCTGATAATGCTAACACCTCTTTTTAGAGCGTCAATATAGCACTTGTCCATTTAAAAATTTGGTTCATTTTAGTCTTATTAAGCATTTATAAATTGCCAATTATATACTAGACAACATGGAATTTAAATGAAATAAAATGGACTCAGGTGGGAGGAATAATTTCACAAATAGATGAGAAGAGAAAGTGGGGTCGTGTTCATGCTTTGGAGCAGTCTGGCACAGGTGTCAAAGCCTGGGTGGGTGTGGCGAGCATCTACATGGAGTGAGGGGTGAGGGGCAGCTACAGCTCTGGGCAGGATGTCAGAGCCCAAGTGGGATGAAAGGGGCATTTGTGTGGGGAATGGGGTAGCACTGACAAAGGGAGGTTGATAACTACACACAGGGCAGTTAATCAAATAAGTAAATATATTAAAGATAATAAGAGTCGGATATCTCACTGTCAGAGAAGGGAGTTACAAACATGGAAAAGAAGAAAACTAAAATTGACTTGGTGGCGTTAGATTGTAATTGAGGGTATTGGTACAAACTGTGTATCTGTTCAATAAAGAGTAGTTTATAACCTTCTCATAAGAAAGAACTCAAGCCCATATGGCTTCAGGGGAAATTTCCCTAAACATTTAATAAAGAAATAATAACAATTCTATTCAAACTCTTTCAAAAAGTAGGGAGGGAAATACTTCCTAACTCATTCTATAAGGCCAGCATTACAACAATACTAAAAATCAGACAAAGATATTACAATAAGGGAAAACTACAAACTGATATCCTTCATGAACCTAGATGCAAAAATTCAAAACAAAATTTTAGCAAATCAAATGAACAATATACTAAGAGGATAGTACACCATAACCAAGTGGGATTTATCCTAGAAATGCAGATTAGGCTTAACATTAGAAAATCAGGGGACCTCATCATGTTAATGACCCAAAAAAGAAAAATATAGAACCATCTAAATAGATGCAGAAATGACGTCTGACAAAAATCCAATTGAGATTCTCCTATCACTTTGTCAAGGAGCGCCTCTGTTGAGAATCACAATTTTAGAGGGAGTAACATATAGATAATTGTCTATCCCGTTCCTGAAGATATACAAAAGTGGGACTCCATAGCCATTCAATTACCTCTGACCTAAACACATTATGCTATAGTTTAACTCAGTATTTCCCAAACTCTGTTCCTTAAAACACTGGTGTCCTTTGAAATATAAGGCTCTTCTTGTACCCTCGGGATACATATTAACATATTAAAAGTTCTAAGTCCAGAGAAGAAACCATATCCAAGATTTTTTTCTTTCACGTGAATTTCAATCATTGCTGTCCTATCAGGGAAAATTATTCTATATTTGCTACTAAAGCATTTTATTTTGACCCATCCATCTGTTCTTGCTTATATATTGAATAATATTTACAAGAGTTCAGAAAACAGCATGGGCAGAGCAGTGCGGGACAACCTCACGGAAGGGTAGATGTTCTTGACTCCGACCTGCTGCCAGCATGGTCTCCTTTGGAAACCACTTGCATTATGGCACTCCCCCGCTCGTCTACCTTCCTGCACATGCCAGCTCTCTACCCCCAACAAAGAAACTGACACATTTCCCTAGCCACTTTTCCAATTCTTTAATTTTAATACCTTTTAACTTCATTAAAGAGTCTAAAATTTTTTTTTCTCCCAGATTTATAAAAACCATAAGTTGTCAAGAAAACATTTTAAAATCACAAAGTTATCTGTCAAAAAGATACTTTCGCTTGACTTGCTGAAGCACTTTAAGGGGGCTTCTCTCCGTATACCAAGAGAAGCCATGTGGCAAAAATGAAATTTCTACTGGTGTTTTCTAACTGCTACGGTCTGAATGTTTATGTCCCCCCAAAATTCCTATTTTGAAATCTTAAATCCTAAAGTGATGGTATTAGGAGGTGAGGTCTTTGGGGGGTGATCAGGTCATGAGGGTGGAGCCTCACGAATGGGATTACTGCCCTTTAAGAGAGACCCACATTTCTACCATGTGAGATTTTAGCAAAAAGAAAGCTGTCTATGAAGCGGGAAGTAGGCTCTCACCAGACACGGAATCTGCCAGAGCCTTGATCTTAGAATTCCCAGCCTCTAGAACTGTAAGAAATAAATTCCTGTTTATGAGCCACCCAGTTTATGATATTTCATTATAGTAGCCCAAACAGACTCAGACACTAACACAGTGTTTCTTTCTATAAGCATAGAAAACACTTTAAAGGGAATTGTGTCTTGCAAGAGGTGAGTCTATAAAGAAGCTGGGCATCAAGTCATAAACCTACCACAGAAAAACAAAATAAAATAGAAAACCCAGCAGAGCATTTTACTTGCGTGCATCCAGGGGATTAGTGACTTATTCTTTGTGCAAAGTACTGTACATCTTGGAAGCAAATGGTTTAAATAAGGTAGTAATACATTTAAGAGCACCTTTTGAAAGTTACAGTCCCCAAGGAAGACAAACCATAAGAATCTTTCATTGCCGCAAAGAATTCAAATACATTTGTTATAGCAAAGGAGCAAAATGAATCGTGGTGTGGTTAGTATGTGGAATTCACAAGAAGCAGTGTTCTCTGCCAGCCTGATTCTGGATAATTTTTCAATTAGCATGCCTTTCCTCAACACTTGAAATAGTTCTTGAATGAGTTGTAAAGTGTTCATGATAACTGCATTAGGCCAAGTTCATTTTGTGTAAACAGGAACAAAACTTCAGCTAACCCAGAACAGTGTGACAAACATTTTGATTTTTCTGCTAAAACCTTACCTGGCAAAATCAGGCCAAATGCTAAAATACATATACTTTGAAGCAAAGGACTATTAGAAGTAATAAACTCGTATCTTAGTATATTTTCTACTTTGGTTTCCATTTCAAAAGGCAAACAAAAGGCCCAAATTATAATTTTAAAAGACCTCAAAAATACACTAATATTAGCTGTAAACTTAGAACATGTAAAAATATGGTAAGAAAAATTGTGGAGAAAACAGATTATTACAATGGCTCATCCAAACTTATTTTCTATCTTTCATGAAAGAGGCTTTCAAAACAAAAAACATTTTTTAATTAAACTAATCCACTCCTGCCCCTTTTTAAGGGATCTGCTCCTTGGAAATTATACCATTTGTACAAACAATTTTACTCCAAAGTATACTTACCAAGGGAATGCATATTTAGTAGGGACTTAGCATCTTTCCAGCACTTGTCATGGTCTCTGTGAAGAACATAAAAGAAATGTAAGATACATTCCTCTCCCTCTAAGGACATTTTATCTTCGTAATTTTAGAAATCTAGAAATAATAACAGAGGTAGTTTAAAAACTAAAATATTTTATTTTCCTAATGAAACATTTTAAAATCTGAATATTAAGCAGAGGTACAATCCTGGACACTCTATTTTTTCATTTTCTTGGATAGAAATGACCATCTCTGTGTCTAGACATCACTTACCACCTTAGAATAACCAAAAAAAAAAAAAAAGTTTCCCTTCATTAGATTACTGCCTCACTAAATTTGCATTTAGAAAAGATAGTTTCATTGCCCACTGTGACAGCATTAATATTTATTAACTAAGACTATGTCCCACAGAAATACATGTCCATTTCCTAGAAATACATGTGTACCAAGGAATAGCAAAAAAATAGTCATAGGGCAACATTATCCATGGTAGGTGCGAACTGTAAACCCAGACGTCCAACACAACCGAGAACTGTAAACCCAGATGTCCAACACAGCCGAACGGATAAATAGTGGTATGTTTATACAACAGAATACTATGAAGCAATGAAAATGAACAGTGTAGCTACATTCAACAATGTGGATACCCAATGGAAGAAGCAAGACTAAAGAATATAGTGAGTATGGTTTCATTTACATAAAGTTGCCAAGTACGCCAAGCTGAACTATATGGATATTTCTGGTGCATGTGGGTGCACACTCAAGTGGTAAGACTATAAAGAAAAGCAAGGAAATGATTACCTAAAAAGTGAGGCTAGATCTTACTTAGGGAAGAGGGCACAAGTGTGGGGAGAGGGTTGTGTTTGAGATGAGATATACTAGGCTTCTGACATACTGGTCAAATTACTTTTATTTTTATTTTTTATTTTTTTAAACCATGGGTGGCAGTTACAAAAGGCGTTTCCTCTTACAATCATTTGTAAACTATATGTGTCACATTATCACTTTTTTATAAGTATGTTATAGTTCGCAGTAAAACACTTCTGAAAAACTCACAGGTTACTATGCTATATACTAAATACATACATACATGTGTGTATAATACACACACTAAACCCAAATGGCTTCAAGGAAGAAAAAGAAGTGTGATTCTATATTAGACTTCTTTTGTTCCCCTGCTCTTCTAATGAGCACATATTAAGAGTTCAAATATATTTTAAAAATGAAAGAGATAAGGGTTTAAAAGTACACCAAAATGTACTATTCTCATTTGAGAATTTGAGAGACTTAATGTGGCTTTTTGGCTGATGGTGAAATTGCACCTATATATTCTTAGTCTCTCCTTTGTCTGTTGTTACAACTTGTTGATATAACCATGCAGAAGCAATACTTGAGAAAAATGGGTATCTTCCTGTCCTTACAGCTGTGACACAGAAGCAGCTGTACTTTGATTTTGATCTTACACTTAATAGCCTGCCCCTAAGTTTTTCCTTCCACTAGCAATGTTGATTCTAATCTTAGAAAAAGTCAGCTTCTCAGGAAAAAAAAAAAAAACAATCCTGAACTAATGTCTGCCTATAAATTACCTGACTTGAGTTAAGCCTTAATCAACCTATTTTTCTCCATGCTCCTGACTCAGTTGGGTACTAGGTTTCTGTGTTACCCTTTCATCTGCTCTAGATTATACCTATAATAATGTCTAAATACTGGTAATACAATATCCTCAAAGCCTCTTCCAGCAATGATCCCAATACAAACCTTGGTAACGGACAATACCAAACTCTGATGTATCACACAGGAAAGAATCTGAGTTTACCAACTGCCCACCTCTACAGTCTAGAATAGATTTTCTAAAAGAAGCACAGAAAAATTTGTACAGCAACTTTATTCTCTCCTCTGTGATCATTATTATTCTATAGTTCCTGGGTAGGTCAAAATCAATTTTACATTTAAGAATACCTGAATCTGATCTGTGATCTTAGAAGTTAAATTTCATTGTTCAGAATCAATACCACCAACTAACGTTCTGGTGGAAAGAATGTAGAGGGCAATACAGTTCACTCTTGATCTTCCAAAGGTTTATCTATGGCACGGCTTACTTCAAGCAAACCTTGATCCAAAGCTTGGTAGAATAACCAACAATACTGCTTAAGTCACATGTGGTCGACATTCTGTCTATTTAATCTAACATCTAGAATCAAAGCCTTAAAGGCAAAATAATTAGCTGCCTCTTTTTATCCTGACAAAGATAAACTCTGAGTGAAAATGAGTATCTCTTTTTAGGCTGGTGCTTTATTTCATCCTGAGTTAATACTTCCTCTAATTGTTGTTGTTAAATAAGGTGACTAGGGATGAATTCTGCAAGGAGGAAGAACAATCTTATAATGAAGTTGCATTATTCTATCTAAGTAGTATCTACATTACAACTCATCCTCATCGCTTGGTTCAAAAATACTATGGGTCAAAGGATATTTCCCCAAATATAACCACATATTTTAAGAACATGATATAACAGAGTTATAGGCCATAACTAGTAATCCTGTTCCCCAATAGCACTGTTATAAACAGGGTGACACTGAATTCAAATTTCTCAAAATATCACTCACATTCAAATACAAACTCTAAGACGTATTTCACAATCAAAACTCATAGTGTTGGGATTAGTTACTCTTTGGCTTATGTACACCATGGCTGCCCTCACTTATAAATAATGAAAAAAAAAAAGACATACATTATATAATTTATTTTATGGAGCAAAGGCAAATGTGTTCTAGGACAAAACGTAAACTTCATATTTAAAAAAAGTATTTTAACAGAGGAGAGAGAAAAATAATGCCACTTCAAGGAATTAGATCATGGCCATATGTCTCTTTTCCCACTCAGCAATAGCCGGTGACTGAAGAGTGAGATAACCGAAGCAAGATTAGGATCTAGAACCTGCACATAATAGTATAGACAATTTGAACTGAACACTAGACCAGAAATTAAGTATAAACAGTTTATAAATCACATATGGTTTAAAATTAATTAAATACTTATTGCAAGAAGCTTGTTAATTTATTAAAGTCAAGATCACATTCAGATAATTTCAACCATCGAGCAGATTCAATTGCAATTTTATTTCCTTTAATTAATCTCTCTCAATACACATATAGGCATATAGCAAAATCATTATTTTATTGGGCTACACTATTAACTTTATAATTTTATAACTTATAAAGGCCAGGGTGGTGGTTCTTGGTATAAATGCTAGAATTCTGATAAGGGATGTCAACCATGTAAATTCAGCACCTATGAGTAGTTATTTAAAATCAAGCTTCCCTCAGCTTGTGGACAGCCAGTGATTGCTTATACAAATAAGTAATGTTCTGTGTATACACAGAAAATAAAACTTTAAATGCTTATCTTTGTGTCAAACTGTGTTTCTTTAAATAAGGCAAACAGACAATTCTCACTCAGTGCTTACCCTTTCTGAGTTAGTGTTTTAAAGTTGACTAACTCAAAGAAGGAATTCTAAAACAATCACCCAAAGCATGACAAAAATGTCACCCTGGTAGACCGGAGTTTTATAAAACTAACTGCATAAGAAGCTCTTAGTGTCTTAAAATGGAATAAAAAAAATCCAAGATGCAACATTTTTGCTATCAGGAAAAATTACAATACATAAATTTAACTTTAAAAATTTGCAATCAACTATTTTATATCCACCTGTGGTCTTTGATTAGTTAAAAAGTGCCTTTCAGTGATTAAATTCCCTCTCATTCAGTGCCCCTGCTTGGGCTCAAAGTTGACAAAATTGATGGAGAAGCTGGAGAGCTGTGCTACCTTGCAATCGTGAAATAACAGTTCTTTAGATCAGTGGTTCCCAAGCTGACCTACACATTGGAATCATCTGAAGAATAAAAAGTTTCCTGATACCTGTGTCCCATCCCAGAAAGTATGATTTAATTGGTCTGGAGTGTGGCCTGGGCTTTGGAATTTTAGAGCTAACTCCAGGTGTTTCTGATGTGCAGACAAATTTAGAAACAACTATTCTATATTCTTTCTTTTATATTTTTATCTTAATTTCTTTTCTTTTTTTAACAATTTAGGTTCATGTCCATTTTAGCATACTTCCTATATCAGTCTCATGCCATTTTGGGAAATCTATAAAAGCATGACTTGTTCTGTAAATCCATGGACCCAAAAGCAAAAGTACAGCATAATTGAATTATTTATCATTGTCAAAAGGAGAATAAAAGTAGAAAGAATAAAGGCATGAATAAGCTGAATTTCATTAAATGTTTCTTCATGACCAGAATTACTAGTGCATGGGTGATTTTTCAAATCCAAGCCTTAGAAACTTTATTGTTTGCCATACTAAAATTAGAGAACAGTTGGAAAATTAGAGAACACTGCCTATAATAATCTCGGTTTAAGCAGTCACCTGGATTTGTATGACCTGTTCCAGTTTTCCACTTTATCAGATGAGCAGGGGCAGCTGCTGGAATAATGCATAAGGAACTGGGTCTTACACATTAGGAGAGCTGCGGAGATACTAAGTTCATTAATGTTCTTGTTGGCAAGAATCAAAATGACTTAGAGGCAGCCAAGTTGAATTACAGGTTTGATTTACTTAAGAGATAAATGTTATGCGACATCAGCTTTTTTTTTTTTTTTGTACATCAGCCTCAAGGCAGTCTTGATGACAAACAGAGTGCAATGCTTCCTTTCATAGTACGATTCAGTTGTATTTCCCTGTAGCTTCTCTGCCTCCTTTGGGGCTATTTGATCTGTCCAGACTAGAGAAGAAAGAAAATAGTTTCAAAGGTTCAAAAGTGTCAGTTTATCAATAGCAAATAAAAGGAATACTAGATATCTTGCTCCTTACAATAAAAAAAGCACCCACAACAGATGAGTAGATTGAAACTGGAAAGCATATATCATAGTGTCAGGGAGTCACAATAAGAACATGAAACTTTGCTCTGATACATGCTTTAAATGGGTTGAAGTCTTGAGCTGAGTGTATTGTCCCTTTGAAATTAAAACAATGACCGGT